CAAGGTCCCTTCCGACCCTACTTCTATGATTCTATGACCCAAATTAAATGAAAATACGTTACGCACGCATTGCAAAATGAATAACCTATTTAAGACCATCTCCTCTCTCCAAAGTAAAGACCGATTAAGATAAAGAGAAAGGAGAAATTTTATGCTGAACCATTACTGTACATCTGATGCACAAAGAAATATAAAGGGGAATTTGCATCAAACCACACCAGTTGGTTTTATTCTATTTGCATGCTTACCTCTTCTGAGGTGCATGTATGGGTGAACCTTTCAAATCAGATGATGTACTTCAAGTCTCAAGAAAGTTAGAGAGAATGCTTTAACTGGGTCATACTTCCTTGTACTCAAAATCTTTGACTTTTTACATCCACAATTTCTCTTCTCTAATTTTCTTCCTTCCCTTTAGTTTTAAACAACAGTATATCTGGAAAAGAATAAACTACTTTCATATTTCTCTACCTTTGTAGCTTACACTGAGTTCATTCAATTGCTTGCTACTTTACCACCCTGCAGTTGCTAATTTTCCTTGCCTAAAATTTTAGTTATTTAATCCTAGAGTACTTTTGAGGGAAAAACATTTGCCTTGTAAAACATTACCTGTATAGCAAAGGTACCAACTCCTCCAGATGCTCCTAAGATTAATATTCTGCAAGACAAAAGTACTTTCAGTTGATAAAAGATGAAACACATACTAAGACTATTCTGCCACATAAGAATCTAAGTGAAATAAACTAATAAAATACTCAATATTTGCAATGATTCCCTCCTTTCTAATCCCTTCTTATGCAAGTATAAATCACAACAAGGAGAAGAACATGATCAGTAAAAATTGATCTAAATAGAAGCCTAGGCTAAGTATAACTGCAATATTGCTGCAGTTTTAACAAACGCCTAGGTGAATTTTGAAAAATTTTACATTTTTTTAAATATGAATTTTTTTTTTAAAAAGTCCGTTCTAACCAAAACAAAAAAACCTTTAATATTTTTTCTATTTTAATGTCCCTTACCTTAAAATTAAAGTTTGCGCTTGCATTTCAAAATCAGTGTCTCAAGAATTAACCCCTAAAGTACCACAAATAAGGTAGGACCACTGATCTAGATTCCTATGTCAATACCACTATCTCCCACAATGATGAGAACCCCTTGCCTATTAGGTTTTTCACCAATCCAGAATAAGCCAATATTTACATCAAAAAAAAGTTTAAAGAATTCACACATTTCCTGCCTCCCCCAAAGAACTACATAAAGCTTAGTACTCATTTGAAGTGGATTCATACTTTGTACAAACTGAGCAGTTTTGCACTGTGATACGTCTTTGATGGTGGGGGGAGCCAATCAATTCTCAAATAGTTTTACAAACTTTCATAAATTAAAAAAAGAGATTTGTTTACAGCACTAGAATTCACAAAAATGGGGCATTTTAGAAGATATGAGACAAATTATGTCAATAGAATATGCATATGTACTTGTCTAAGACAAAATTTATAACAAGGTAGAGTCAGCACAAATAAATTTGGAGGCTACCCCAAGTGATAAAATGTTTCTTTTCTGGACAAAAAAGTTAAGTAAAGCAGAATGTTGTTTGTTTTCACTTACATTTGGGAGAGACCTTGCAGAACATTACGTTTTAAGAATCAGTTGATGAACAAGGCAAAATTGAAGTATACTGCATCTCAGAATGACCTGTTACAATTATTCTGAACAAGCAGAAGGAGTAATTTCAACTACATATAAAAAAAAATACATCACAGTGAACTGCTAAATAAACTGTATTATATTTTATAAAATATAACTAGACTTAGTGATATGAAACCTCACTGAAGAACTCTACTGAGTGCAATTAGGAATTTCATCCAGATATTTTCTATTAAATCTTTAACAGCTAGACTTATTAGATTGGGATCAGCACCTGAGCTATGCGAGGTGAAAATATTCTCTCTGCAAAATCAGCTCTCTCTGCCTCAGATGTAGAGAAACCCTTTAGATTTCTACATTACCATGGGTGCATAGACATTCATTTCTAATGGGGGAAACTTTTGAGAAATTTGCCCTAGTAGAAATACTTCTGGGAGATATTCAGTCTGCAGCTACCCGCTCTCCCCTGCTCTCTGTGCCTTCCTGAGACTGGGGTGATCCTGAGGGGAACAGTGTCTGCCACTCCTCCAGGTCGGGGTGGGGGGAAGGAGGGGACTGGAGCAGCAAGGAAAGACTCCCTGCACCGGCCCCAGACAGAACTCTGGGGAACAGGGTCGGGGAGCAGTCTCCTCCACTCTGTTCCCAGTCTTCAGGAGCGGAGCAGAGGGAGCACTGGGGCAAAGTCCCCAGCTCCTACTCCAAGGAGAGCAGCAGCCAGCTTGGGCAAGAGGCAAGGAGCAGCAGTAGCTTCTTCTCTCCCCTCCAGGACCAAGACACAGCCCCCAGCCTCTTCCTCAAGTCAGGCACTTCCATGGCTTGCAGAAAGCTGGATCTGGAGTTCTCTTGAGAACTGACAGGCACCACGCATGCAAGGGACTTAGCTGTCATGGGTGACTTCAAATTACCTGGACACAGATTGGGAGGAACACTTGGCTAGGTCATATTGTTCACACTATCTGCCACAAGGTTGAGAAATCAACCAGCAGGACTGAAGTCCTGGAATTCAAAAATACTGACTTTAACAGGCTCAGAACATTAGTAAGGGAGGTGATGTGAGACCAGAAAGGCAAGGCAAATGGGGTGCGCAAAGAGTGGTCGTTGCTTACGGATACAATCCTCAAAGCACAAAAGAAAACCGTTCCTGCAAAGAGGAAAAGCAGCAGAAGGGCTGGCAAGCCCTCCTGGCTTAATAGGGACATTGCAGTCCTCTTAAAAAAGAAAAAAAAAAGAGGTGTATGCACAATGGAATCTAGGGATGGTCCTCAAGGAGGACTATACAACAGTGGCCAAGACATGTAGGGAAGTGATCAGGAAAGCCAAGTCGGCAACAGAGTTTAGGTTAGCTACGGGAGTCAAGGACACTGTGGATGCTGAGCAGGTGCAATACCAATTAGAAAAGCTAGACATTTATAAGTCAGCAGGACCGGATGGACTTCATCCGAGAGTGCTGAAGGAGCTGGCTGAGGTCATCGTGGAACCCCTGGCAAAGCTCTTTCAGAATCCGTGGCACACGGGGGGAAATCCATGAGGAGTGGAAGAGGGCCAACATTGTGCCCATCTTTAAGAAGGGGAAGACAAAGGACCCATCCAACTACAGGCCAATCAGCCTAACCTCCAACACAGGGAAAATCCTGGAAAAGCTCATTATAGAATCTATATGCAATATGCTCGTGGAAGGTAAGATTCTGAATGACAGCCAGCATGGCTGTCACAGGTTGGTCTTGTCTTACCTCATCTCCTTCTACAACCAGGTCTCTCACCACCTGGATATGGGAGATGTGGTAGACATTATATACCTAGACTTCCAAAAGGTTTTTGATCCTAGTATCCCACAAAATCCTTGTGGGAAAACTGGAAGATTGTGGACTCAGCAGCTCAACAGTTCAAGTGGGTGGGAAACTGGCTATGGGGTGGGACCCAGAGAGTTCTCATGAACAGATCTGTGATGTCCTGGTACAAAGTGACCAGTGGCGTCTCTCAGGTTCATGCTTGGACCAGTGCTTTTCAACATCTTTATCAGTGATTTGGATGGGGGAGTGAAAAGGTCCCTGGCCAAGTTTGTGGACAACACCAAGTTATGGGGCAGTGTGGCCACATCAGAAGATAGGTTGCAGATACAGGTGGACCTGGACAGGCTTGAGAGTTGGGCAGACCAGAACCAGATGAAGTTTAACATTTCCGAGTGTAACGTGCTCCATCTGGGGGCAAACAACCCTCAACATACATACAGGCTTGGTGGTGACAGCTTGATTTGTACCACAGCTGAAAGGGACCTAAGGGCAATGACTGACCATCGCATGAATATGAGCCATCAATCAGCACGAGGCAGTAGTCAGCAGGGCAAACAACACACTGGCATGCATCAACCAATGCATCTCATGTAAAACTAAAGAAGCGATACTCCTGCTGTATTCAGCACCGGTGAGACCGCAGTTGGAGTACTGCATCCAGTTCTGGGCACTGCACTTCAATAAGGACATGGAAAATCTTGAGGGTCCAGAAAAGAGCCACCCGTATGATCAGGGACTTGCAAGGCAAACCATACGAGGAAAGGCTGAGGAACCCGGGCCTCTTTAGCCTTAAGAGAAGGTGGAGAGAGGACTTGATAGCAGCTTACGGCTATATCAGAGGAGTGTATCAGGAGCTTGGTGAACAACTGTTCACTAGGGCACCCATGGGGAAGACCAGGACCAATGGATATAAACCCCTGGAAGGCCGCTTCAGGCTTAATACTAGGAAAAACTCCTTCACAGTCCAGGTGTCCAGACTGTGGAATAAACTCCCTCCAGAGGTGGTGTATTCACCTACCTTGGAGGTTTTCAAGAGAAGGTTAGACAGTTGTCTCACTGGGGTCACCTAACCTCAGTTGTCTTCCTGCCTAGAGTGGGGGGCCTGGACCCGATGATCTGCAAGGTCCCTTTCAGCCCCTTACAATCTATGAAGGCGCTGGAGGTTGTGCCTCACCATTCCCTTCCTCTCCCAGACCAGTTGGAGAGGGGAGGGGAGCAGCTGCTCCTTCACTCTGCTCCCTTTCTCAGGGAGCAAAGAGGAGGGAGCAGCAAGGGGAAAACTCCACTTGCTTTTCACTCCTGGAACTCAGGTGCGAGAAGCAAGCAGCAGGGCTCGCAGTGCTGCTCCCTGCACTTAGCTCCTGGCGAGGGGAACTGAGTGGACAAAGTAGTGGGGTAACCTCCCTGCCAGGTCCAAACAGCTGGGACTCCAGTGTAAGCAGTGGGCAGAGGCTTTGCCCCACTACCCCACAGAGAGCCTTCCTGAGCCCATTTCCAAAGCTTGGTTCTCCCCTTGCCTCCCCCCATGCTGCTCAGCAGGCAAGGGGGAGCCAACAGAAGACAGCAGCACCCCCTCCACTTGGCTTTCCCTTGGAGCTGAGCAGACCAAGCAGCAGGGCAAAGCCCTGTCTACTTCTCACACTGAGAACTTTGCTGCTCCCTAATGCTCCTGGGTTCCAGCAGCTGAGGGGAGGGAGCCATGCAGCAAAGCTTCTCACATTGGGAACTTTGCCAACTGCTCCTTTCCTTTCCCAAACTACAGGAAAGGCAGGAGCAGCTGCTCCTCCCCCCCTCCAATTCCTTCTCAAGACCAGGTAACTCTGATCTCTGGAAGGCATGGAAGTCTTTCCCCTTGCTCCACTCCTTCTGGTCCCCAGGAAGAATTAAGTTTAGGGAAAGCATGCAGACATTCAGTCTCCCAGGAGTCTCTTCTACTTATTCCAGGGTTATTTTTCTTCCAGAGCATCCATTTTTGCTCTGGGAGAAAAAACCTGAATGTCTGAAATTAAATATTTGTACATAGCCCGTGTGCCAGGAAGACCTAAACGGATTAGAAAGTTTGACAGTTGCTAGATCTTGTGTTACCAAAAATAAAACTCCAGAGTTCTTTCCGTCCATAAGTACACAAAGGGACTTCTAGAATAAAAAGATAACCCTTGCCAATGCAGACCCAAAAACATAAGTCCTCAACTTACATGGAAATGTTTCTCTTTAGGTCCCG